CTCACTTTAAAAGGTTGTAAGAATTATTTATGAAAGTCTTTATAAATGATAAATAATTCAAAGTCTCAAGATATGAACTTTTATGTAGTAAAACTTGGGCAACAAATAAATTTTTTTTTTATTTGGTTAATACATATCAAATTTTATTAAATAAATAATCTATATTATAATCATTTTTATTTTCAGTAATTTTATCATTTACTAATTTAAATTCGATTGCTTGCTGTTTCGTTTTAAAATATTTTTTTTTTCTTTTATTATTTTTACTTTACAAAAAAATCTAATATTTATATTTATCACATTTTTGCAATGAAATTCCATTAAACATACTTGAATTATTTTTTTGTAATTTACAATTTAAATTATTTTCTCTTGATATTGTTTCTTTAATATTACATTTACGATTATCCAATCTGTTTCAATTTATATGATCAATTATTTTCCAATTTGATTTAATCATTCGATGTAATTGAATTGATTTTTTTTTATTTGTTGTTGAAATATAAATATTTTTACTTTTAAAAGAACACCATGTATAATTTTTAATTAAGTTAAAGTTGTCAAGATCACAGAGAAAAGTAATCTCTGGATTTTGAGTTTTAACTTCAAGATATAGATTAAGTTGATCTTGACTAGTCAATATTCATTAAGTTTAGATCTTGGTTTATCAAGATTTACATACTTCTCCCAATCAGTCACAACCTCAAAATTTTTAAATTTTTTATTCCAATTTGATATTTTTATACAAATATAAATAAATTAAGCACTATTTATATATAAATTAAATAATAGAAACTATTAATAATAGAACTATCAAAACAACTTATGAAAATATCTGACGCAACTCAAGATACTATTTTTATAGTTTGGTAGCAATCTCTGAAAAACAAACTATATACGTATAATATATATTGTGATAAGAAATATATCTTTATATAAGTTAGGGCTCGATATATTTCTTCCTTTAAAAAACAATAAGAGTTATTTATGAGATTCTTTTTGAGCAATGAATAACTCAGAGTCAATACGATATATGATCTTTATGTGGTTTGACTCAGGCAACAAATAAATTTAATTTATTTGGCTAACAACATATTATCATATATAAATAATTGGGATGGCAATCAATTAATCGACAATCACTTCACCACATAACATTTCACTGACAATTATTTACCAACACGTTCATTTTACCGACAGTTTATTTCACTGAAGCTCATTTCACCAACAAAGTAATTCTGGTTATTGTCGTTAGGGTTAGGGTAGAATTAGGTAGAATTAGGGCTAAAGTTAGGGTGCTTTTTGAAAAAAAACTTGTCAGTGAAATGAACTTCGGTAAAACAAATTGTCGGTAAAATAAACTTGTCGGTGAGTATTTGTCAGAAAAATGTTATGTCGGTGAAGTGATTGTCAGTGAAATAATACGAACCCAAATAATTGCTATATTTATATATAAGTTGAATAATAGAGGAAGCTTGAAATATCTACTTGGGAAATAACAATGAAAATAACAAAGCAATCTCTCAAACAACCTGAGAAAATATTCAAACATTGATTGCTGCAAATAAAATTATGCTGGTAAACCTTGTCTATTACAGGAATCGGTTTAACGATGAAGTGAAACAAAGATTCAAAGAATTTATATTGCAAATGCTAAATCTTGGATTATTGATAATATTTCAAGATTACCTAATTAAAATTTAGCTACTCAACTTTTGCTTTATTTTTCACAAGAATACATCAAGAGAAAAATTAAAAAATACTCGAATAAATTTCTTTTGTTAGTCGAATTTTTCTATAGCAAGCAAGTATTTAGAACATAGGAAATATTTACATATAGTATTTTTTTATTGCTAAGCTATATCGGGTATATCAATCTTATATTTAAAATTGAAGAAATTATTTGTATAATAAATAAATAATAATTGTTTAATAAAATATTTATTAATATATGAAATCAAATGAATCAAATATATTTCCTATATCATCATCATCCTCATGATCATTTAGCTTTCAACTAATTAATATATCAAATATTTTCTGTAAGAATTTATATTTCTTCTCATCAGTTTCATATTTGGAAAATTGTTTCCACAATACATTCTCAATCTTTTGTATATTTTGTCGAGAAATTTTATTTGGATCCACCAATAATTTTTCATATTGTTTCATCATCTCTGGAATATTCTTGTTAACATCAAAATATTCTTATAACACTATCAGAGCAAAAGGATCCAAAAGTGATCTCTTATTGGTCTTAGTTATTTTTGAATATATCCTATTTCAATACTTGGGATCTTTCTTGAGACGAATATGCTTTGTTCTTTTAAGCATTTTATTTGCTAAGATCTATAAATAAGTATCTACACTCTTCGCTAAAGTTTTGGTCTCTACAATTTTATTTTTAGAATATTCCTTAGATAAAATAAATTTATCATCTTTACCAGAAACCCAAATATAATAAAAAACACCTAATAAAGCTTTTCTATTACTACTTTTTGAATGCATATCATTTATTATTTTTTTCACATGATCAGTCTTAATTTTAGTTAACTGTTTCTTATTATCACGACTCAATGTTTTCTTATACTAATTGACTATAGAAGTTATCTGTGCATTAATATTTCTGTTTATATTTCTTCTCTCATTTGCAATATCAGGTATTCGAGTTGAGAACAACTTATCATTACTCTTATTATTAGATCATTTAGATTTATTAACTGGATTTTCTAACTCTTGAATCTGATTCATTCTCAAATTATGAAGATGCATTATAGTTCTTGGAGGTGAAATATATTTTAGATTAATTCTTGTATCTATTTCTGTTTTCCATTTATTCTGAAGCTTCAACTTGTCCTACTCTAAGCCTATAGATGTTTGAAAATTATCATAGAGACTATTATTGTATAGATGCTTTCTCTTATTATCAAGTTCTTTTATATTTTGATTTCCTGTGAGCAATGATTAGTTTAACTCTCTAATATCATTTGTGGTTACAGAATTATCAGACAACTCATTCAAATTATCAACCAAATCTATATTATATCATATATCTTATTGTCATTTTTGCTATATATCTTATCTAAAGTGTAATGGTGCAGAACATGAAGATCTTTCAGAGTTTACCCATCAGTTAGAAAATTCCCCTAATATCTTGAATTTGAACATCATACTGACCTTTATCTTCAAGCCTGCTTGCCACATGATCATTTCTAATGCTATTCTTTAGATTATCATAAATCTTATTTGTAAACCGGCTAATCTGTTCCTTGCAAATTGTCTGAAGTTAACTCTTCTGCGTATCAGTTAAAAAAGCATCTGATTTGATCAATGTATCATACAATCCTCTGTCTAACAAATTTCCTATAAAAAACTCAGTCTCTATATCACATTTAAATTCTTCATATTTCTTATTACCGCAAATCTCCTATTTTCGATCAGTTCTCAATCTAAGTAATTCATCTTTTTGTTAAAAAGATATATATTTACCTAAATCAACAATGCTTTCCCAATTCACATCAAGTTTTGCTAGATCTGTTTCTGTCATTATACCTTTCCTAAGCTGATCATACTCTTCTTTCTGGCATATAGAAAGAATCTTTTTATTAATCCTGTTCAACAACCTTACAATATCAAATGCTAATAAAATCAGATTATTAAAAATCTGTATATAAAGATTGTTCAACTTGGGAATCGAATTTAACCTTGTAATATGACTATCTTAATCATTATATTTTTGAGTACAAAAATGAGCCAATCTTGTAAGATGTAAATTGTATAATTCCTGAATTAAGTTTGAAGATAATTTTGATTTATTAATTCTTCCAAAAAGCTCTCTATTATCAAGAAGCCTAATAGCATCTAATAAAGTAACAGATTTTATTTCATGTTTTAATTGGTTATATAATTCATTATTTTAGGTTGGGTAGGAGTTGATGTAGGTATTGGCTTTATATTTTTATCATTTTTAGTAGGTTTTTTACTCTCCATATATTTATTATTTGGCAGCGCATCTTGATCAAGATCAATATCTTTAGCATCTGTTTTATCATTATTATATCAGGCATTTCTATATCAGATTTAAGTAACTCAGGTTTTGTTTAAAAAATATAACGTATAACACTTTCAAATGCTATAAATAGATTAATCTGTTAATCATTCTGGCTTATAGGTCTTTCTGAATTCAATTATTTATGATAGCAGCATGAAACAAATTGATTTTTAATACCAAATTTATATTTACAAACTATTTTTAGAAAAAAATAATATTTAAGTTATTTATTTATTAAGATCAAAAGGGTTTCTATTTATATAAATTTAATCAAAATCAAACTAGATTCCTATTCTGGTTATCCTCATTTCTTATTTTCTGATGAATTCTTTTAAAAAGTTCAACTGTAGTCTCAACTTTCTATCATAACAATACACGATCTCAATAACACTATCACTAATGAAAACAGGTATTCCAGTTTGTCTCTGACAAACAAAAATTCTTTACCTAACAAAAATGTTGTCTCATTGGTAAGATGATACGGATCAGTGTCTGGTAAAGTGGCTCATAATCGTTGCATCTTGAAAAATTCCAGTATATAATTGACCGCCATAATAAGTACAAAATTCCCAGTATCAAATACTCATGTCTCATCTTCCTCTTCAGAGACCACACAAATATTTTGATGTGTTTTCAGAAATTGATAGCATATGTAAAAATCCTAATTTTTCAACAAACATCCTGAATCATTGCATGTAATCTCTTCATAATGATAAGATAATATATCAAACTTTTTCTCATTAATTATCGGCAGATTAAACATTTCTATATTTTCGAATACATCAGATGGAGAAAGTTTGTTCTTCTTAGCTAATGCTGTGTCACAAATTCATATTAACCAAAAATATAATCTCATATTTGATAATAAAGGTGTGGGTAGCGTCTTGTAACCCTTTCCTGGAATACTAAACTGGTCCATTACTTGTGAAGGATTATCAGCTAGTAATGGTCAAGGAAGTCTTTGACCCTTGAGTACCGCATCATCTTCTTTCTCATTGATAATTGCTTGTTGAGCTTCATAGGCCTCTTGCACTACTATTGAACTTCTCTATAGTAAAACTTCAAAAGATTTCCAAAATGGTTAGAATGAATAGATATAAATGTGATATGAATCGAAATATTGGATAAGACCAATTAGGTTACTAACAATTTACTATTCTGTAAAAATTGCCAACACCAAAAGTGTTTATACAAAGTGTTATCATAATACAAAGATTGTGTATTATTATTAGCAAATGCGGGCTCTAAAGTGACTCGATCAACCTTTAAATTAGGAGGTCTCTTTTGACAACAATCATTATAGGATGACTCATTGCCCATCATGCAACTACCAACTGAACATGGTTTCTTTTTAGTAATCACTTCTTTCTCCTCAAATGATCGTTTGCTTATAATATATTTCTTCTACAGCAAGAGCTGCTAAAAGATTTACTAACTCTTTTTTGTTTAGAGAAAGTATTTCTAATTATTTTTTTAACTGTTTTTTTCTTGTGAATTGTTTTTTTTTTAGTAGTTTTTTTTGTCTTTTTGGATTTTTCACTTGTTGCTTTTGTATGAGCCAGCTTTATATATGATTATTCTCATAAGATTCAATTTTTTTTATTATCTCAATAATCACTAGCCAAATATTTGCAGACAGCACAGTCATAAAATTCTTCATGAGATAAGCAAAACCGACCAACTTAGATTTTAAACAATGATAAAGTATAGTACATATTAGAATAATTGTTAAGAAGCAACAAATATTAAAATTTGTATAGATGAGATATAACAGAAAATTTGACATTTTAGGTTAAAAAATGTAAAGACCAGGTATTTATATTTATTTATTTTTTTAAAAAAAAATAATGAATCAGGCACTAACTGATTTTACAAAATTTATCACTTGCTTATAAAAATTATTATTCCCAGCTTCAGTTAACTTATCTAGATATTCAATGATTTTACTAAGCAGTTGAGGAGGCATCTGCTTAACCAACAATACCACTTGCTTAACCAACTTTTTAATCTTTAGATTAATCTGTTTTTTCTCATTTTGAACTCTATTAATTTCCTTTTTTAACTCTATATTTTCTTTTTTAATTCTTTCCAACTCTTTTTTTACAGATTTATAATTACTGTGACTTTTAACACATGCTTTATATAATATCTGATACTTTTTCTTCTGATCCTGCAATATATAATATTGCTTTTCCCACATATTAGCTCGATCCCTTTCTTGATTTCTCTCACTAATCAAATTATTATACTCCTGCTCTTTAATAGCCAGTTTATTCTCTAATCCCTTAATTTTTTTCTTTAACTGTTGGTTTTCTACCTTAATATTTCCCAACTGAATCTTAGTTTTAGCAAAATTAGCTTGTTCATTTTTTAATTCTTGTCGAACCCTTGTCTTGTTTTTACATGTATCATTTAACTGTTTTTTGGTTTCTGCATGCAGCCACTATTCACGGTTTAACTTTTGTTTTTCCTTTTTAATCTTAGATTTTAACTGTTTGATTAAATTTTTTATATTCTTTATTTGCCTGATTAGTCTTTTTCTTTCTTTATAATGTCTAGCTTTAGAATGATTATGACAAAGTTTAGTAAGAGTATTATAATATGTAATTTGTTAGTTATAATAAGTAATTTTTTTTTTTTTTTTAATATTTAAGATGACTACTTAGGCTATTGGCATAAGCTTTATTCAGGTAGTTATGATATTATACCCATTTCATAAGGATACAACTAGCCATACATGCATCTTTTGAGTACCTAATTTAAGTAGTCCACCTGGGTTCTACACTAGCCACCATACTTGCAATTTAACTAGAAGATTACCTATTTAAGCTCTCTGGTTATTTCTA